CAGGAACCCGGGAAGCGCGTCATTACACGCTGCCCGCATCCTGATTGAACGAAAAAATAATAACAGTGTATACCCAGGTTTAGGTAATGTTTTTTTATAAAAATCATTTTTTATCTAACAAAGCTAAGTGTGCAAAGTAGGTTTATTTTGAAAGCATCCAGGTAGACATCTATATACAACCATGAGGTGGGATTAATGAAAACTGGAGCAGACAGTTTTCATATGGCAACCACTCTGAGGCTGCCCTCAGTTTGTTCAGTTAAAAGGAGAACTATGGGGTAAGTGTTTAGCCCATAGTTCTCTTAAGGGTCACAGGAGGACATATAGTAACCTTATCCTGTGACCTGTGAGCTTAGTATATCGCGAGCTACAGGGAGCTCCCTGCGGGGAGCGTTGACTGACAGTCACGGCTCTCTGCAGGGAGATGATCAAGAAGCCCTGATCTATTGAGCCGACCTGTGACAGTCTCATTGTCACACGTCGTCTCGAACTATGAGGATGAGTGATTTTCACTCACCTCATAGTTCTCCTTTAAGCTTTGAAAATGAAAGACATGAGCTCCGGATTCTGTCTGCTCCAGTTTTTATAACTTTCCCCCATGTGTCTTAGCTGCCATAAGTATTGTACATCTGTTGAGCCAGTATTTTAACCTAGACACTCATGCCAGACATAATAGGTAAAAAATATAGCTTGATCCAAGACTTAACCCCAGCCTGCTGATTTGACAAAGGAGGGGAAGCATCATATTGAGGAGATCATCCCTGTTCTTCCACCTTCTGTAAGCATTAGAGTGCACAAGAGTGCATATCCTCTCTCTTAGAGGGGATGACAGGAAGCTGAAATACAGACAAAATTCAGGTACTCATACTAGCACTCAACATACATTTAACGTTTTTTTTTTTTTAAATTAAACACATAACCAGAAGTCAGCTTCAAATGCCATCTTCAAATCTGCACTGGAAACAAGAGGTTGAGAAAGAAAGTTTGAATTAGATAGTTGGCAGTGGCACACATACTGTTCCCTCTTGACACTTTGATAGATGAAGTCTATTTTCTTTGTGTTGTCTTGTTTTGTATTATAATCTCCTTCTTATTGGTTCATTTTAGAATACCCATCCTGTCATATTAGATGTCAGTGTTTGGCTGTACATTTGGCCATCCTTATATTTTCCACTGGGTGGTGCTGCAGGAATTCCTACCTTGTTTTGCTTTCCCAGCAAGACGCCTCCGAAACATAATAGGAGGAAGTCCTGATTTAGAACATTTTTACAGCTCGAGTACAATAGCAGCTCGGAGGAGGCTCTGGGCAGAAACATTAAAATGACTGAATATGGAAAGATCAGCGTCATTATGTTATTATTGTGTATTCCCCAGGTTCTTTAGACATGTAATGACTCCTGAAACACAAGTCATTTACAAATGACTGACTAGTCAGGTTTTTTATTATAAATAAGAATATTGATTTATAGGGCAGCCATACCTTTCACTGTACAGAGAAAACTTTACAACACATTAGAAACCATTACAGAAGATTAAATAACATAAATATACATCAAGTTGTTAAAAGTAGATGAGACCTAAAACCTTCCATTAAAGCGCCTTTACGTCCTAGATTTGGTCTGCAAAGCAAACACCTTGATATTTCCTTACCAATGAGCTGCACTTTTATGAAGTTGCCATGACAAGACTTTTAAGTGTGATATACAGTGATCAAACAATGTTATTTCATAGAGATGGGTCACAAACCCTTACTATTTTCTAACCCAGCTTATCTAAGACAACGAAATTGCCTGGGACAAAAGGAAGTGCAAAGTTGTGATTTCAGACTGGGGCAAATGTACAGATTTCCTGTGGTCTGTTTTCCGGTTTCCTGCCTGATGTACAGAAATACAGGAACTAAAACTAAACCCGTTATTAGACAGTGTGTTCACACCCAACAGTCAGCCACCTATAACTGAATGTTAATGATACATCCCAAGCTAAAGTACACATGGGGTTATTATGCAACCACAACCTGTAATTGGTCATTTAATTTGAGCTGTTACTTGTAAAATGGTTAAAGAAACACTAAACTCAGGAGTTTAACTATTAACAAAAATGTATCTTATATGTGTATCACTCGGCTGTATATCCTCAAGTCATCTCTGAATTCATGCTGACACATCCTTCCTTCCGGAGGGTGGCTACTTTTGTTCCCCATGGTCCCTGTGTGTGTTAAGTAGCCACCACTCCAAGTTCGCTCCTGTGAAGAAATGTCCTAACACTTCCTGCGCCATGTGGGGACACAAAGCAATAAAAACATGGCAGGTGTTTCTTCCCCCCCAAAAAAATTTTTTGGCGGTAGTTAGGCTTAAAGCAGTATTAAACTTTTTTTTTTCAATAATTCAGAATATGCATTAACTATTTTACATTTTTGCCCAAGAACTTACAGTCATCATGTTTTTGACTCCAACTCCACTTCCCTGAACCTCCTGTCTAGTACAAGATCACAGTCCCCACCAGCCATCCAGCTACTAGTTTTAAGGGATAGGTACTGAAGGAAGAGCAGTGTTTTGCCTTGCTGTGTCTGTGGAGAGACACACAGCTTACTAGCACACACAAGGGTGTCTCCATTGGACCTTGCAAGGGAAAGGAGCCACCCTAAAACAAGATATCAGGACTAGCCAATTCTGCAGGATGATAACAATTTTAAACATCAGGGCGCAGCATCCATTGTAAGGGATTTATCCAGCATTTAAAATTACTTTAATATCACTTTAACATCTTCCTACCTTTTTCTTCTCATACAATTCTATAGTATGGTTAATATTGATGTATAGGAGCTCATAAGCAACAATTAAGTTAGCAGCAACATCAAGAACTTAAAGCCATAACAGTTACCCACTGAAAATGAGCCAGATTGGTAAACAATCCCATGTGTATGGCCCGCACATGCTTCCAACTAGAGATGAGGTTCAGGTTCACTGATGCAATGGGTTGGAAGCAAATCCTGCAGCTAATGTGCAGATTCACCCAGGAGAATTTTTTTTTTAACCATAATGCAATGCATAGCCTTTGAACTATGGCCAGCAGGCTTAGAGGGCCCAATAAGCAGGCTCTTGGCTAAGTCACCCCTCTCACTATAAAATAGAATAGTCATAGTGTCATTGTATTGGAAGCTGCTATAGGGAAAGGATAGGGAGGAGGTACATTGTTTATTTCATGTCACGGGCCTAGGTTAAACTGCTTTTTTTGCGGCAAGGCTTCCTTTGAAAAATAGGTTTTTGTTTCAGGGGTGGTATTGGGGGGGGGGTTTCCATTTTTTTATGCTAAGGCTTTTTTAAGTTTGGGGTGTTCATAGTAGATCATACTCTAATTACTCACAATTTTGTTTGTGGTCCTCTTATTTGCGGCATGTTGCTTCATTGTTTGACAGAAAAACAAACAGTACAAGAACAGTGTGCTCCTAAACCACCTCACAGATCACTCACATTCACCACACCCTCCAATCCTCGTAGACAAAATAAAAGTTAGGCATACACAAGTTAGGCCTATTATATATTAAAACAGTCCTGCCGATGGCCAGTTGTACATTGTTGTAGCCTCTGTATTATCTTAAATTCTTTTAGCATCTGTGCCCTTTGTCTCTAGTAACATTGGGCCTAACCTTGCATTTAAAATCATCCTGCTGGCCAGTTTTACACTGCTGTGTCATATGTGGTAATTTCATTCTAGCAGTAAACCCGTCTGTGCTCTTTTTTTCCTCCAGTACATTTCGGCAAATTCTACCTCATTTAAATTGTTCTGCTGCTGGCCAATTTTAAAAATTGATGTATTCATTTTTAATGAGAGTTTGATAGAAATTGTAAAATATTTGTAAGGCAGTCCTGCAGAAGCCTTGTTTGCTCTCCAAAAATACACATGATTTCAGTTATTGCCAAATCAATAGGCACATAATAGAAAAGTACAAACTGGTCTGGTCCATAAAGAGGAAATAGCTGCTAGTTCTGAATGGTTAAAAGATGATACGCCACACTAAACTTTTTTTTATCAAGAAAAGAGCAATAACAACTTGCTGATCGATCAGTGAATTATAGAGCTATATAAAACTTATTCCGGGGGGAGTAATTTAGAAAGAATCAAGGCCACTGTCTGCAATACAAAGGATTCTGGATGTAAAATTCTTCCCTCATCTTTAATTCTTCATAATACTCAACAAAATATATATTATAAGAAGGGGCATTCTGACACTTTCTTTGGAAACACTATGAGATGAGCTGGAATTTCCCTTTAAAATGGAAGAGAAACCTCAAGAAGAGTCACTAAGAGAATTTTCCAATAGATTTTATTTATAATCTTTTTGCATACGTTTCTGTTTTCCCCATCATTCTCTAACAGCACTAAATCTGTTCTAGAAGAATATAATGAGAACTTGGGAAGATAATAGGCTGCAGCTGGTTGTTTCTGCCACCTTGTGGCTTTGTACGTATCTGTACTATGAATGAAGAGGTCCCTCATTATTTTATGCTGTGGTATGGCTGTCTGTCATCTCTGATCAGTGCCTGTGTGATGTAAGGGTCATACCTTGCCACTGGAAAATGAGGCCACATCAACACACCATATATGTATCATACCGCTGCTTAAAATCAGCTAAAAGGATAAGTTTTCCGAGACTCAAAATAATGGCATGATGATGTAAACAAAAAATTCTTAATTATACATGTTAATAATATTCTGCACTGGGACAGTGCTGCTCTACTGACCAGATTTGTGAAGTGATGTGAGCCCCAGCTTGCTGCAAGCATTCAGTTTAATATTTTATTATTATTTCCCTGTGATTGGATGGCCACATGTTCACTTTACACATTATTAAAGCACTCTCTTTAGTTAGGGGGAGTGGAAAGGATTGCATATTGTCTACACAATAATCATTATATATATATATATGCATTTTGCCACCCAAAGGTGACAATATGGATGTGGTCATCTATGTCTGTAATAGAACCATTTCTGTTTTGTAGGTATGGAGAGTGCAATTACCCTGTGGCAGTTTCTGTTGCAATTGCTTCTTGATCAGAAACATGAGCATCTCATCTGCTGGACATCCAATGATGGGGAATTCAAGCTACTCAAAGCAGAGGAAGTGGCCAAGCTATGGGGACTGCGGAAGAATAAAACCAATATGAACTATGACAAGCTGAGTCGAGCGCTTCGATATTATTACGATAAGGTAGGTGTGAGATCTACCAGCTCCATCTCACCTTTATATTCTCAATTTTTACTACGGAAAGGCGGTAACATACTCTTTAGACACAAGCATGTCCATTGTATTTTTGTAAATTGCCCAGCTGTAGCTTAGATCTAGCAGCATTGGTGTGGTTTTTTTGTGCCAGTGACATTGTCCTTTTCTAGAATACCACTGCAGTGGCTTTGATTGTTCATCACGTTAGGCCAGAGGAAAGAGCACTGATGAAAATAGCCCTAGAACATCTGTCTAACATATGGTTTCCATGTGCGAGCTCAAGCACTAGGACACAGCACGGCAATAAATAGATTAAGCTGTGCAAGTGAATATTAGCAGAAGGTCTGGGCATACACGGCAAGAAAGGAAAATACAAGTAATTAAGAGCGTCCGTGTTGTTTCTTGGCATGGATAAAAATGAATACATTATAATGTTACTGAAAAATGAAACAAAACGGACGCCACAAATAGATTAGTAAAACATCAAATGACCGTGTAAGCTGATCAGTTTTGCATCTTTATCCTCCGTAGGATTTTCACAACAAGGCTGTTGAACTGAATAACACATTGAAAGATCATCGGTGTGAGATGGAGCAGAATGTTCCACTCTCTTCAGCCTTTGCTCCACCACCCTCATTATATTATCTACAGCAGTCTGCTCCTCTACAGGTGCCAGCAAGCGCTTTGCAGTTCTTACTTGAAAATGTAACAGAGGAAACAGAACAAAAAGAACAACTCATCAGCAAATATTTTTGTAGTGTTTACAGTAGTTGATTTCCATGAGCTGAGTACAAATCAGATGGAACATGAATGTTGAGCACCAAGCAATAGGACAAGCCGCAATGCACTTTCACTCATAAAATCCAATGAACATTAGATGACGGTCCTTGTGAAAACGGCACATGACCAGTTAAGGAGTGACCCATGTAAAAAAGTGTGGACCCCTTTTCACATCTGGAGTCCCCCCCCCTCTCATTAGTGTCCTCAATACCCCCTTTCACATTAGAGTCCTAGCATCACATTGGTGCGCAGGCTGTGGCAGGAGGTAGAGAAGGTCTGGACAGAGTTGAATTTTTAACTATTTTTTTGAGTGGATACCACCCTCCCTGGATTAGTGTTTTCATAGTGTATTAGTCAGCCCAACTGCACCATGCAAACATTGCTATGCAAACATTTCGAGTCGCCCCTATGGAAGCCAGAAGTCATCCTGGTTTAGATGGACTAGACAGATGCCGGAATTGTATGAATCTTTATGTGGTTACTATTGTGTGCTTATCAATAATATTTCAATGTGTAATTACTGTTGGATAGTAGCAATCTATCAGATTCTGTTAGTGCCATGGTTCTCAACTGGTGGGTCGTGACCCAAAAGTGGGTCGCCACATGCCTTCCACTTTTCTAGGTATCCTTGTCCTCCTTAGAGAAGCACCGTCAGTGCTCGCACCGAGCAGCCATTCAAAAATATGATGCCGAGTGTCGACTTGAGGTGGGGATATGGCCGCGAGGGAGCACCATCCATACGTGCATTGCTTACAGCTCATCACTTTCTGGCTCCCGGCACGGGAGCTTTACAAGCAATAGACATATGGATGGAGCTCCATCACAGCTCAGCAGCCCACACTGGACCCCAGGCTGATGATCCACTCCAATTTCCATAATGGCAACCCAAACGCACCTCCCACCCACAGTTCGATTGCCTGCACCGGAAAGCACAGTACTGCAACAGGGAACATTGCAGTGCAACTTGGGTTGTGACTTAATGACCCAGGACAAATGTGGGTCCCGAGGTTAAACAGGTTGAGAACCACTATGTTAGTGTTTCTTTTTAGAGCCAGAACAATGGAAACAATTACCCTAAAAAAATATACTCTCTGCTTACTTTTTCTAAGCCTCAGTAGATAGGTGTATTTGTGCAGCAATGATGTTCACCAGAGGTTTTCAGTATGCAGCCAGTAGGAATTGACAATAAAGCCTTTATAATATATATTCGTCTTTCATAGAAACATATACAGCAATTGATGACCTTTAGTAAATTCAGTTCTAAGATTCACTTTTGACAGAATGCCTTATAAATAGCCCTGAAATCTCCTGAACCCATTTATTTATTTTGTATTTTTGTTTCAGAACATTATTAAAAAGGTTATTGGACAGAAGTTTGTCTACAAGTTTGTGTCCTTTCCAGAAATCCTAAAAATGGAGACTCATGCTGTGGAGGTGAGCAGGGAAGGCCTATTGCTGCAGGACAGCGATTGCAAGATCCCGAGTGAACTCCACGAGAGACACAAGCAAACCTTGTCGGCACTGAAGAACACTGGTCGCAATGAGTACATCCACTCAGGCTTGTATTCCTCCTTCACTATAAACTCACTGCAACATCAGGCAGAGTACAAAGTTATTAAAACTGAAAGCATGGAAGATGAGCTACAAGAAGATGGAGAAGATGAGGAGGAGGAGGAGGAGAAGGCTGAAGTCAAAAATCCAGCAGAGGAAGTCAGGACTGTTATAAGATTTGTTACGAACAAAACGGACAAAGAAACCATCAGACCCGTCATTTCTTTGCCCTCGACATCAGAATCAGCAGCTGCATCTGCTTTCTTAGCGTCATCTTTTTCTGCCAAAGGATCTTCCCATAGATCATCGAATACTAGTGTTTCTTCTTCTCCACGCTCCTCGCGATCTCCATCCTTGTCCCCAAATATATCCTTCAGTAACGAGCACAGGAGCGTATTCCTAGATTATCCTGACACCAATGAACCATTAAATCTCTCAGCAGGATCCAAAGCAAAGCTGTCCTATCATCATCATCATCATCATCCCAAAGCCAAGAAACCTAAAGGATTGGAAATCTGCTCCCCACCTCTTCTGCTCTCCAGTAGTGATATTGGCTCAATTGCCCTGAACAGCCCAGCACTTCCCTCCGGATCTCTAACACCAGCTTTCTTTACTGCTCAGGTAATAAAATGGGTTATCAAGAAAACTGTACAAATATTACAGAGTCAAAAATGCCCTCAAATGTTATAGTGCAGGGATCACACACATGTATTCAAAATACAAGAGCTCGGAAAAACACCATCTGGGCTTTTACACTAGGACATAATCTACCTGTGACTTGTAGAATTCAAACTCTGCTGGGCAGCACAACCATTTATGATCACCTCAAATGGTCATACAGAAAGCATATGGTGATATTTGATGCATCTCCATGCACATTAAAGTGAAGGAGAGCACAAAGAATAAAGTGATGTTTTTTTATTTCCAACCTCACCAACATGTTCATCATAAGGGAACTCGTAGGAGTGATGTAGTCATATAGAATGGGCTTCTCTTGTAGATTGTAAGTGTTCACAGACTGAAATTGAGGATTATTGCAAAGTTAGTGGGCTACAGGCCTTTGTTAAACAAAAAGTGGAAGAGATACTGTTTTTAGGTTGAAAATTGGAAGTAGCGAGTTGGCTGCAAGTATGTCATCTCTATTTCAAGGTTTTGAGGACAGAAACCTTCAGAGAACAGGGTCAAATATATGAAACAATGGTCTTTAGAAATACTTACTTTCTATTTACTGCATAGTGCAAAGCCAGTGTATAATAATCTAAAGCAACCAATTAAAATAAAGAAATTGATTAGCTTACCTACTCTTAAGATTTTGAAAGCTGTGTACAGGTTGGTTTCCAAAAGCCACTGCTTGATACACTGTTCCAATGTTTTAGGGCACTCGTGCTTGCTTAAAAGTTTAATTGTTTCTGATAGATTCTCTTACAGCCTGTTTCTATTTAAAACACTATTTATTTTGCTCTTTAGGTACATTTAGAAACCAAGACGATCTCCAATACCATTTAGGGAGGCTGCATCTATAATTAGCCATTTTACGCCTAGCTAAACAAATGTTTTAACCTACATTTTTCTTTATGTTGGTCATAGCAAGTATGAACCATATCTGCATAATATTACACTATTTCTATTTTGTTTTTACATTTGCAGACACCCAATGGATTACTGTTAACCCCGAGTCCTCTTCTATCAAGCATCCACTTCTGGAGCAGTCTTAGCCCTGTAGCTCCATTAAGTCCTGCCAGGCTGCAAGGACCAAACACATTGTTCCAGGTGAATATATAAAGCATATTGAACGAAGTTACAACCACAATGACTATTTTTTTCAGCCACTAATGTGTAAAGAGGAGTAGTAGTTAGAAACCAAATAGAATCAGAAGAGAAACTATAATGGTTTGGGGTCAGTTTTAAATGTTTAACACTTTTTTTTCCATTAACAGTTTGTCTCTATACATACACATACATTTCTCTACAGGATTCTGAGTGCTATGAGGAGAAGTTATCAGAACTGGAGCAGCTGTGCATGACAACCAATCAGCTTCTCTCTTTTATTGTTAAAACTGAACTGAAGAGAGAAGCTGACTGGTCACAATGCACAGCTGCTCCAGTTTTGATAAATTCCCCCCTATGTGTTTTCTAAAGCTGGCCATACACCTTACAACCAATCGCAAGACTTTTGTCTTGCGATGGTTGTAAGGTAATTTAAAAAAAAACGTACGATCTGCCCATCTTGGACAGGCAGTTCGTACTTGCGATCATCGCAAGCCCGCCCCGCTGAGGGGTGGGCTTCCGGTGACTGCAATGCTGAACCGGTAGTGTGCGTTTGCGCACACCGGCCCGTGCAGCATTTGTCTTACGAGCAGGCCACAAACCCGCCGAAAATCTTACGATTCTCGGCGGGTTTTCAAACATGCTCGTAAGACAAAAGACGTGCGAACGCACAGTAGAAATGGTTGCACGCCTTCCACACACCTGCCAATTATCGCATGATAAATCGGCAGGTGTGTGGGCACCTTAAGAGTATAAAGTAAAAGGTATTTCCTTTCAGAAACGCGGTCTCCGATTGAAAATTCTGATGGAGCCACTTGTGTGTACATTTTAGCACAAGCTATTTAGCTCCATAAACAAGCTTTTCTCACCAAAGAAAAAAAAAAACTAGAAAACCTAAAGAAAGAGAAGAAAACTTAATCTGCTGGCTGAATATATGAATAAAACAAAATGTTAATATGTAATATTTTATATCTAAAAAAAAAAAACCCAAACACATTTTAGTGGTTTTTCTTGAATGTTTTTAGCCCTGATAAAATATACAGTCGACCCCCGCAAAGTCACAGTGCAGAGTTTGCGGATTTTTCCCATATAGGGGTAACATTGGTATTTTACATTCTAGCACTGCAGAAGACATAGCAGTACAGTACTGTACAGTATACAGATTTACCTTTTGTATTCTTTTTTTTAATGGTAATGTATGAAGCTAAATTTGAAATGAAATTAAAATGTTTTGGGGGCATATTTAGGGTTATACTATAAAAATAGGCTTTTTTTTTACCACATTCAAAATTTGCAGTTTCACAATTCGTGGGTGCTCTATGAACGTAACGCCGCGCAGATTTTGGGGGTAGACTGTATACAAAACAATTTACTACACCTTCTCTTTAAACTTTCAGTGATCTGACTTTAATGTGAGCTCTTTGCTTGCTATGAACTTTAGCACATCGCCATTGTTCTTTACATTGCATTACTGAATATGGTTTTCAGCTTTGCAGGTCATTGCCTAATATCCAAGTTTGAAAAATTTTTTTTTAGACAAAACCATGGTTTCTCTTTTTGTGTATGTGTATTTTTTGGATGGGGAAAGTACTGTATATTAAGGATAACTTCTTCTTAAAAACAAATCCAGTGGTATAAAATTTTGGGGCGGGGGGAACAGTTCAATCATTTAGGGGTCTATTTATATACAATTGACAGAGCCATTTGCCCTGGAAATTTTTGTGAAAGTTTGCACTGTGTGAATGGAGGCAAAAGCAAGTCTTTTACTAGATGTTGCTGAGGAGCATAGGAAATAAATGCTTATCAGATCCCCCTAGTGAAGAATGTTAATTTTTTCCTCTTCGCACAGAAGGAACTATCAGAGATTCGCAGGACAAATGGCTCCGCAACTAGACCCTTTAGTGGATAAGGATCAGTGGTGTATTTTGGTTTGGGGCTGCCGTAGGCAAGATGAAACTTGGGCACACTCCCCCAATCTAAATTTGCCCCACTCCTTCCGGTGTAAGACTTTTTGCGTAACCTGTCAGTCGCTGGATACGGCGCACACGCTGTATCCAGCTTTTGACAGTTTGCACTATTAGAGTAGCAGGGCAGCCAGGATCTCTGGTGGGCTCTGCAGGTCTCAGTCTGCAAAGCCCACCTGAGACCCTACAGAGCCTACCATAGATCCCACACAGCCAACCTGAGACTCTGCAGAGTGCACCATAGACCCCGCAGAGCCCACCACAACCTGAGACCCCCCCCCCCTAA